TTGTGGATTTCAGCCCCCAGAATTCTTCAGCCAGCATGACTGGCTGGGGAATTCTGGGAGCTGAAGGCCACAAATCTTAAAAGTTGCCAAGGTTGGACATCTTAAATTTAGATGAAACCAGGTGCAAATCTGACTCTTTCAGAACCCGGAAAAGAGTTGAAAAAGAATCCAAGGTCTCAAAATAAATCCTTCCCCCTTTACAGCTTTGGGTAGCGTCAAAATATAGTTTGCCAGAAATGAATAGCAAAGGCTGATGGTTTGTGCTTTGCTATAACTACTCATCTATTCTAGCCGGGCCATTCAATCCTAAGTAAATATTTAACTGGCTTCCTATCTTTTTTGCTGATGCAAATGAAGAGAAAGAAACCCTAAGCCAAAAAATTGAAAAAAAAAATGGCATTCAGGAGGTAGGGGTTAGGGGGTGGGCTTCAGCTGTGACTCCCCACCCATGGGGCCCAGCCCCACAGTGAAAATCCTAGCCTACAGGTATGCTATTTTTTTCTTCTTCTTCTGAGCCTATCCTATTTGGGCATTAAGTTTCATTCCTTACATGCAAAGGAACTTTTTTACCGAGAAGCATTTTAGCCTGGGGGCGCCCAGTCACCCTAAGCTCAGCCAGAATTTTGTTGTGCACACAGCGTGCTCTCTAAAAACATCACTCCTGGGACAAATTTCTCACCTTAAAGTGGAAATATATGTCCTTCCTGTCCCCGACATAAAGAGCGGTGTGCGTTTGTGTCTCTCTTTTGAGTGTGTCTGTAGCTTCTCTTCCCCAAGCATCCCTCCCTCCTGTCTAAGGGAATCAATAACATTTTCTCCAGAAACAAATGCCTAATATTGCATTTGCAAGACTCAGGAGCAAAGAATTGGTGGGAATTCACTTGCTCTGATTGGTATGTGCAAGCAGACACCTACGAAAGGATCGAGGTTTGCCTTCTTATAAAATTTTGAGATGCCAGATGTGTTCAGGTTTGTTTTTTTTTTAAAAAAAGATTAAAACACCAGCGTATGTTCTGTTTTGTTTCATGCTTCTCTTTTGACTGATTCTTCCAACAAAACAAAGTGCCCCAACAGAGGAATACCGGCAAAAGGGGGGGGGGAATTAATTTTACTTCTGCCCCCAACCCCAGTAAATAAGGCATTAAGTTTTTCCAAACCACCAACTCCATTTTAGCTTAGCCTAGGGAAGATTTGTTGTTTTTTTGTCTGCAGTTATGCTACCACTTCAATACACTTTCTTTTTCATTTCTTTCTTTCTCTCCCTTTTTCTTTTTATCCCTTTTTCTTTCTCTCTCCTTTCTCGCCCTTTTTCTTTTTCTCTCTTTCTCTCTCTCACTCACACACACACTCTTTCTCTCTCTCACACACACACACTCTTTCTCTCTCTCACTCACTCTCTCTCTCTCTCTCTCTCTCTCTCTCTCTCTCACACACACACACACACACACACACACACACAGAGCAAAATGTGGGCTCAATCTTCATTAGGACAGAGATTCCTCCAGTCTTTCCACTCCTGTCAAAATCCTCTGTCTCAATGGATGACTCCATAGAAATAGATGGGTGGGGAAGTAAGACAACTGAGGGCAATAAAAGAGAACCAAGCTCTCAACTGATTTAAGTCTAAGTTTATGACCATCATCTATGGGATTATTTATGGCCACTTTTTCTAGTCTGGCATGCCAGGGCAAATGGTGCAAAACTGCGTGTTTTTATGGGCTTCCTGATTTTGGTTGCAGCTGCTGGGGCCCTTCCAAATAATTCCACCACACTATATGTCGTATTGGAACAGAAGGGAAAATAATTCCATTACAGCTATGCAGCAGTTTGGGAATAATTCGGAAAAGGTGCTGGAGAGTACCGATTTCTGGAATCGTGCAACCTCTGCAGCTGCCATGTGATGCTGGGAAAAGATGCAGTTGCTTTAAAGAGTTGCAGACCGGTGCTGCTTTTGTACATCCGGTGTAACAAAGAATTTGGGGGGAATGTATGGGAAAAAAACCATTGCCCAGCCCTGTATTAAAATGTGGGAACATCACATGCTAACTGCATTTAATTAATTGCTTGTTAACTGACAGGACGTTTAATCAAATTCCTGTTCCCTTGGAATACAGCCTCCGGGGGCTGCTCAAAGGCCTGGTTGCAGCCCCCATCTTCAAATCAGTTACAGGCAGGGAATAACAAAAGCTGAAAAAAATTTGGAAGGCACCACATCGGGAAAAGAGAGAGCCAAAAAGGCGGGGAAGTCATTTCATCCCTGTGCAACTGAGGGGAATTGTATAATTTGTGTGCTTTGCAAGATGACATCCATGGTGGGGTTTCCAGCAGATATGTAGGCTGGGAAGGCCACACTGCAGAGCAAGATATAAATTTTCTGAACTCCCTTAAAAGCAAAAGAGGTGATTTCTCTATTTCCCATGCAGAAGTGCATCACAACCTGATATTTATGGACTGCATGTCCCTGTGCTATTAATTTTCTGGTTCGGGCAGATGAACATTAGCCGATTGTACATGGCTCTTTGCTAGTCCATAAACTTTAATTAAAATAGTGTGGTGGGTTGTCTATGTTCTTAAAAAGAGAGGAAGAAAAAGAATGAGAATCTTTTACTCAAGTTTTGCATGAAATGCTCTCCAGCACAAAACTAACTATGACTCTTTTTTTAATAACAGACATCCAAACCAGAGGATACTACACTAAGGCAGAAGAAAACATAACTTGAAGCTTCTATTCCATAACGTGCTCTGAAAACTATTTAGGAGGTAACATACAAAGTCTGTGCAGTGGGATTTAAAATATTAGGAATTGGATGGGTGAGAAGAGGGGCTTCACCAGTGCTCATTTTAGAGTAGCAGATCTGCAATTCCTTTCCAAAATGGTCATTTCCCCCCTTCTCGGAGAAAAAACATAGCATTGGACATAAACACCCATGCCTTAAAATGCTACAGAACATTGCTTGCAATCAATTTGGGGCAGTTGTTTTTTTGGCAAAAATCATTTATTGACTACTATCTCTCTGTTTTGATATGGAAGCTGGATTATTATTCAGGAGAATAAACAGAAGTTTCACTATTTTTGACGATGCTCTATGACACATTTCTGTATCTAACTTTAACTCACCCGCCCACCCCAGTTCAAGATAGTCTCATACATCACGCAGTCTCATACATCACGCTTTGTCAGAAAAAAATTAGCCAAGGTTTATGGTTGACCTGATTAAGCCTCTAATCTAATCCTGGCTCATCCTTTTTACCCTGGGTTAAATCTGACCAGCATTACAAGGCACAACATTTGGGACTGGAGAAAGATGAAGAAAGAAAATTAATTCTTTCTAAGACTGACTTGGAATGAAAACGTCTGCTTAAACCCAAGAACAGAAAAATTCCTAATGGCTAAAACTAAAATAACTGTGCAAAAATTCTGGATTTAATATTTTTGGATGCAGTGCAATAGAGTGGGTTTAAGGTTCAGAGTGTCCCAATTTATACACAGAAGTAATTGAAAAATTTCTCTCCAGTTAATACACCCAGACATTTAATTTAATAAATGCAGAGTCTCAGTTTGAGAAGGAGGAATAAGATTTTTTCCCTCCAATTTTCACATTTTACATACCACAAATCTTGTGGTCTAAAATATCCTTTGGGGGGTAGCCTTAAATGCTTTTTAAAAACTCACAATTCTCTCCCTCCTCCTTGGCCTGGCACATACACACATCACCAACAATAATTCCAGAGAAGAACATTGTGTTTTTTCACTATCAGCTCAGAGCAAACTTTCTAAAAAATATGTGTGTAAGCCTCCCCCCCCCCACATACATATTTTGAGTTTTGCTGGATGCCCATTTTTTTCCAACTTCTGACATGTTGAGAATATATATATATCAAATATTCCTCTCAGCCAAAAGTACAGAACGTGTCCAACTCTGATCTGGAAGTGCAGCGAAGAAGAAAGCATTTTTTTACTATAGAAGACTTGAAGATGGAGATATACATCAATTAGGACTCTCTAGCAGAATGTTGTTGGCTTGAAAAATAAAAGAGGATGCCTAGAATTTGAATACCTTCCCTTAAACAAAAAACCCACACTCAGATCTAAAATTAAAACGGTCCTCTTCCCACTTTCTTAATCTGAAGGCAGATGAAAAGACAGACGGACAGACAGACAGACAGATAACTGGTGTGTTTGTGTTTGGTTAGGCAGTTTTAATTCTTTCCACCTCTCTCTAAAATAAACCTCTACTCCAAATGTTTAACACCTCCCTTGCAATACCCACACATACCCACGAACAAACACGCACCCCCCCCCCATCCCTTGGAGGCAGTTTATAATTTAGAAAAAAAGAGAACTCAGATCTAGAAGAAGGGTGCGGAAGGATTAAACTAATCCCTAGAGGCATTTAAAAAAAAAAAACAAGATAACCGAAGAATTAGCAATGGAAGCCAGGATAATATAGAGAAAAAGGGGGGAAACCCACGAGAGAAAGTCCGATGACGGGCAAAGGATTTGTTTCTTTTCTGCTTTTAAAAGGGAACATCTAGAGTTCGTCAGCCATTCCTTTTTTAAAAAAAAAAATATCGCCCATATGATTATTACAGCGGTTATTGGTGTTATTATAATGATGATTACTTTACAATGGCATGTGCCAATGTTGGAGCCTGAACTGAAAGAAGCCTTAAAAGAAAAGAACAGAATAGAAGAATATTTTATTGGGCCACAGAAGGAATCGATTCCAGTATTAGAGTCAAATCTTTTGCCATTTTATTTTCAGCTGGGGGTGGGTGAGTGGCTGGGTTAGATATCTCCCCACGGGACACCCTCCCGTCCCGAGGGCCTCCACGCGCCTGCTTCTTCCAAGACCCCCTCCTCGTTTTAATTCCCCCCCACCTTTCTCCCACCCACCCACGGAGACCCCACCATCTGCCCACCACCTTCGTCCCCGCTTCCGAAAAGCGACGAGATCCGTCCGAGAGAGTCAGTGGGAGCCGCCAAGCGCGTTACTTACAGCTACGCGAATCCACCCGCGGGACGAGGAAGAAGCAGAAGAGAAAAAGTTTCATCCTTGCGCAAAAAACGGAGTTGGGGAATTGGGGAGGAGGAAGGGGGGACGCGAACCTATTTTTTAAAATATATCTATCTATATATCTTGGGGTGGGAGGAACTCTTCCTTCCCCCCCCCCGAAGGACCTTTTAGGACCTCTCAAAGTTTTCTTTAAAGTTTGCCAAAGGGGCGTGGGGGAGGTTTTTTTTTTTACTTCTACCCCAATCTTTTTTTTTGTTGTTTGTTTGTTTTGCTCTTTCTTTCCTACTCTTTTTTTTTACTTCTACTGCAAACTTTCCTTCCCCCCCCCCGCTCTTTCTTTCCTTTCTACTCTCGTCCTCCTCCTCCCCCCTCCGCCAACCATCTATAGAGAGAGAGGCAAACCAGGGCTTATCCGAAGCTAGTCTGAGCAGTTCAAACTTGACAAGTCCTCTAATATGCCTTTTGCACTCCCCGCCCCACCCCGCCCTTCCCCGCCCCGTGGGCTTTTGGTGGAGCATGGGGGGGGGAAGACAGAGAAATGAACTTGGAATTAACAAGCCTTTGCTAAATATCTCATTCCCCCCCGTCCCCTCCCCAAAAACCAGACCCCCCCCAACTCCTTGTTATATAGAGAACCGGCCCGCTCCTTTTTGATTTACAAGAGGAGAGGCGGGAGGGATCCAGAATCAACCCCCCCCCCGCACAAAACAATGCCCATCTTCCAGCTCATTTTTCCCCCTTTTTTTCCCTTCGTTTGACCTCCTTTTGCCTCTTACTCAACCGGCAGCTGCAAAGAGCGCTTCTGAGTCAGTGGAAGAAATCTTTTACCCCGCTGGTTGGCTTGGAGGGCGATTTCTTTCGTGGGTGCGGTATTTTTCTGTCCCCCCCTCCCGTGTCTGCTCTCTCTCTCTCTCTCTCTCTCTCTCTCTCTCTCTGCGTAGTTTTGACCGCTGATGCTCTTCTTCGGCATGCGCCCCCCCCCAAAAGACGGTATTTCCCCCCCCCACACACACACACACGTCTGTTCCCGGGCGCAAAGGCGGCGGGTACAATAAAGAAAAGTGCCCTCTGGTCCCGCAATTGTCTCTCCTAGCCGCCCCCCCCCCGCCTCCCGTTCCGGGACATCGGAGCGGCTGGCTTCCCCCAGCTAATTAAGTTCAAAGGTACTTTATGGTCGCGATGAAGTCGCCCAAGGCGAAGTATAAACTTTTTGGCGGGCATGTTCAGCGGTGCCAGTTTTAAGTAACACAGGAAGCCGCAGCCAAGAGTTCTGTGTAAGTCAAAAGTTTTCTTTCTTTCTTTCTTTCTTTCTTTCTTTCTTTCTTTCTTTCTTTCTTTCTTTCTTTCTCTTTCTTTCTTTCTTTCTCTTCCTTCCTTCCCTTCCTCATTCCCCTCCCTCCTTCACGTCCCTCTCATTCCTTCCTTCCATCCTCCCACTCCTTCCTTCCCTCTTTCCCTCCCTCCCATCACCTTCCCTCCTTCCCATCTCTCTTCCCTTCCTTCCTTCCTTCCTTCCCTCCTCCCACTCCTTCCATCCTTCTTTTCCTCCCTCCCATCTCCTTCTCTCCTTCTTCCAATCTTCCTTCCTTCCTTCCTTCCTTCCTTCCTTCCTTCCTTCCTTCCTTCCTTCTCTCTTCCCAGTCCTTCCTCCCATCTTTCTCCTTCTTCCCATCTCTTTCCTTCCTTCCTTCCTACTCTCCTCCCACTCTTTCCTTCCTTTCCTCCCTCCCTCCCTCCCATCTCCTTCTCTCCTTCTTCCCGTCTCTCTCCTTCCTTCCTTCCCTCCTCCCATCCCCTCCTTCCCATCTCTCTCCCCTTCCTTCCTTCCTTCCTTCCTTCCTTCCTTCCCTCCTCCCACTCCTTCCTTCCATTCCTCCCTCCCATCTCCTCCTTTTTCCCATCTCTTTCCTTCCTTCCTTTCTTTCTTCCTTCCTTCCTTCCTTCCCTCTTCCCACTCCTTCCTTCCCTCCTCCCACTCCTTCCTTCCTTCCTTTCCTCCCTCCCTCCCATCTCCTTCTTCCCATCTCCTTCCTTCCTTCCCATGTTCATTATCCATTAAACTCTTTGCCTTTCACAGTAATTGCTGGTCTATAGAATAGAACTATTTATCTCTGTATACAGTAGGTCCACCTTTGACAAAAGTATAAGGAAATAAATGTTTCCTGCTTGACTTAAATGAATCTATTTAATTATACCTTGCCACCAGACCAAACCGGAGAGGCTTTCCAATCCCTAATTCTGGGGCAGGAAGATCATAGTCTGAATCTCAGCAAGTTCCAGTTAGTTTGTTCAGAAACAGGGCCATGTGACTGCAACTTGGGGGGTCGTCCTGCACTCATGGCTTCTGCTGAAGTAGCAGGTGGAGGAGCTTTGCAAGTATTTAGCCGTCAGAATAACAGAGTTGGAGGGGACCCTGGAGGTCATCTAGTCCAACCCCCTGCTCAGCCAGAAAACCCTATATCATTTCATGCAAATGGCTGTCCAGTCTCTCCTTAAAAACCTCCAGTGACGGAGCACCCACAACTTCTGGATGCAAGCCCTTCCACTGATGAATTGTTCTCACTGTCAGAAATTTTCTCCTTAGCTCTAGGTTGCTTCAGTCAGTGATATGCTTTCTGGAATGATTTTCAACCGCCCAGGCTAGTCTAGAACTTTGGAATTTCCTTGTGGTCTTTCATCCAGTAACAATCATTATTGCCAATCCCTTCTTAGAAATATTTTTAAAGAACATATTATAAGGAAATCTTAACTTCTTTAAAAAAATATTTCCTAAGGAAGAAATTGGCAAGAGTCACCTCGTGGCAAGATGGGGGCAAATAAATTTAATAAGCAATAACAAATAAAATAATTATAACTATGAAGAAATAATATTGATTGGATGTACAGTATAAGACTTCCTGAGTGTCTGAGGCAGTTTCCTTCCCCCCCTTCTTTTTACACAATGCTAATTAAAATGGGGGGGGGGAAAGCCCTGCCCCTTGAGTTCTCCAGATTGTGTGTTTTTTTAAACTAAAATCAAGCCGTTTTTGAAGCAAAATTCAATTCCTGCTGATCCCACGCTACTCTCTCCTGCCCTAAGAGGGAAAAATACAAAGTCCTGCTGGCTGAGAGAATCAGAAAAGAGGATTTTTGAAAAGGTGCCATGATTTTGGGGGGGGGGGGAGAGAAAATTTCTGCTAGCTAAGGAACAATTACACTACCCCTCCCCCCCCACACACACACCTCTCCAGAAGGAAAAAAAAAAAAATCTCAGCTCTGCCTTACACAAAAGGATTACATGTATGATGAGCAAAATTAAGGATTTCCTGCATTGGAAATTGCTGTTTGTCTGGCTTCACTAAACATGCTTAGATTATGTACAAAAGATTCCTCCAGGGTTAGGAAAGTAAACTCCCTGAGACATGATGGAATACTTCTATGAACACAGAAATTGTGTTCACACAATATGTATATATCCTGAATTAAACCATTTTCTGGCTTTGCACAATACACCAAACTATATATTAGCCAGTGAAGCTGGACATGCAATTTGAAAAAAATGAATAATCAGCTAACTGCAGGATTCATTGTGAAGGAAGCCATGATGCTTTCTCATTGAATAACACAATAGCAGAGTTGGAAGGGACCTTGGAGGTCTTCTAGTCTGACCCCCTGCTCATGTCAGACAAATGCTTGTCCAATCTTTTCTTAAAAACTTCCAGTGTTGAAGCAGCCACAACTTCTGGAGATAAGCCATTCCACCGATTAATTGTTCCAATGGTCAGGAAATTTCTCCTTAGTTCTAGGTTGCTTCTCTCCTTGATTAATTTCCATCTGTTGCTTCTTGTCCTGCCTTCAGGGCTTTGGAGAATAGCTTGACTCCCTCTTCTTTGGGGCAGCCCCTGAGATATTGGAACACTGCTATCATGTCCCCCCTCGTCCTTCTCGTCATTAAACTAGACATTCCCAATTCCAGCAGCCATTCCTTATATGTTTTAACCTCCAGTCCCCTAATCATCTTTGTTGCTCTTCTCTGTACTCTTTCTAGAATCTCAACCTCTTTTTTACATTGTGGTGACCAAAGCTGGTTGCAGTATTCCAAGAGTGATATTATTATAAAGTGGTATTAACATTTCACGTGATCTTGATTCTACCCCTCTGTGGCAAGACACAAGACGGGGGGGAGGGAACTAGTGAAATTTAACATGAATCATACTTCATGGATTGGATAAATGCAGCTTTTGTGTTTTTTTAACAGACATGGTCTCCAGTGTGTTCTGTGAACATAGTGAGGGAAAAATGACTATGGCTCTGAAATGTATAGTACCGCCTAAAAATGGTCTGGATGACCTTAGAGATACCTTTTGAGGTTTTGAGTGTGCATTTATTATGTGTAATACTATGTCACTGTTTCCCAAAAGAATGCAACTGGCACACATTCTTCTGGGTTTCCCAAGACTGACAAGCAGGAAGGGAAATTGTCTGGCTTCCAAACTTTTTAAAGGCATCTAACTGGCTTTAATAATAATAATAAAGTTGGAAGGGACCTTGGAGGTCATCGAGTCCAACCCCCTGCTCAGGCAGGAAACCCTACACCATTTCGAACAAATGGCTGTCCAGTCTCTTCTTAAAAAATTCCAGTGTTGGAGCACCCACAGCTTCTGGAGGCAGGTTGTTCCACTGGTTAATTGTTCTAATTGTCAGGAAATTTCTCCTTGGTTCTAGGTTGCTTCTCTCCTTGATTAGTTTCCATCCATTGCTTCTTGCCTTGCCTTCAAGTGCTTTGGAGAATAGCTTGACTCTCTCTTCTTTGTGGCGGCCCCTGAGATATTGGAAGACTGCTATCATGTCCCCCCTTGTCCTTCTCTTCGTTAAATGTTAAATGTTGGTAATGCTTGTTGCATCATTGATCGGATTCTGCCTGCATTCTTTTGAACTACCTTTGATTTACAGCCATTCCTTTAGTGACTGAAGCCCCAACAGCACAGAAAAACTTCTGACTGGTCCTCGCACTTACAACCATCACAGCATCTGTACAGTCATGTGATCAAAATTTGGGTGCTTCGCAACCAGGCTGTATTCATGATGGTTGCAGCATCCCAGGGACACAGGATTTGTGTCCATTTGAGACCTTCCCACCGGCTTTTGACAAGCAAAGTCAACGATGGAAGCCAGATTCACTTAATGACTGTGTGAGTCACTTAACAACTGCAGTGATTCACTTAACAGCCACTGCGGGGAAAAAAACCTCATAAAATTGGGCATGATTCATTTAGTAACCACCTTGTTTATTAATGGGAATTGTGATCCCAATTGTGGTCATAAGCTGAGGACTTCCTGTATAGTTTATCTCCTAAACAGCCCTGCAAGGAAGCTAGGAGGAAGAGAGGGGCATTTGCAAAGACTCCTGAACAATGAGAA